TGTTGGGGAAGTGAAATAGTTTGTTGAGGAGATGAATATCAGAAATAAGGAAAACAGAGGATAGGGAATACTAGACATGTGACGAGCTTATGATCTTTTGAATCTTTTGGGGTTAGAATTTTTTTTCTTATTTAGAATTTTAACTTTCGGGGGGATCATATCCGGTGACACTCATTTCATCGGAAGTCACTTCGTTGACAGCTTAGTTCACCGACAATTAATTTACCGACAGTTATTTCACTGACAGCTCATTTCATAGACAATGTAATTCTGGTCATTGTCGTTAGAGTCAAGTTAGAATTAGAGTTACGATTATAAAAAATCTTGGTGAAATGAACTTATCGGTGAATTAATTGTCGGTGAAATAAGCTTGTCGGTGAACTAAGCTGTTGGTGAAGTGATTGTCGGTGAAATGATACGTATTCATTATATTTAAAAAACCAAAAAATTAGAGATAGTCAAGTTAAGTTACATATTTTTGCTTTTGACTTGTAATTTTTTTCTTTAATAAAAGTACTGATCGGTAAATTATTGAGTTTAAACATTTACACTCAGATTTCATTGTAAATCGTAATAAGAATCGTTCGTCACATGTAATCATATACAAGTTATCCCTGGGTCACTATATCAAGATCACAGGGTATAAATCAGTTATACATTGGGTTCTATGTTTATAAGCGGAATTTTATTCCGCTTATACCCATGCTACCCATGCTACCCAGTGTACAACTATCACATAGGTAATGGGATAAAAAATAACTAATTATTGTCACGGGAATGATCGTGAAATCGGATAATGGTGAAATTTGGACCTATTTTATGAATAACTTTTAAAAATTTTTGAGGCCCTTTTTTTTTATATATGGGTGATTATTTTTGAATCCAGACCAAAATGTTATGATGTCATAAATATAAAATTGGTCCGGGTTCAAAAATAATTACCCATATAGTTAAGTTGGGATTTAGGTAAGTGGATTTTGGTAGGGCTTATATTTTCAAATTTCACCATCACCGATTTCACGATCATCCGTGACAATTATTACTTACATTATTATATTTGTCCATCCCTAAAAAAAATACAAGTATATTGTATTTTAAAAGTATTATAGTATGTCGTCATATTGGGTTTAACCAATTATGAGTTTTTTTTTATTTAAATTTTTAATATACACATTACATAACAAGATTATACACGTCACTCTGGTTATATCGACACCCAAAAAAATCAAGAAAATTATCCGGTATATCCGGATGTCGGGGCATTTTCATATTAAGTATATAGGTTCAAATTTTTTAAAAAAGTGTCGTTATAGCCAGATGTCGATATAATCAGAGTGACGTGTATTTTAATAAAATTATGCTCTTTTACTTGCAATTAACTACACATAATACATAAATTGACATAAATTGAGGTCTTTATTTTTAAATCAAATTAGAGTGAAAATCTATATTCAAAGACTTTTAGTAGGCAGGTATGTATAAAACGAATGAAAAAAACAAACGATTAAATTATGATGATTTGGTACAAATTCTTCTAGAATATTTTAATTTAGTATATTATATAACTGTCTAACTATAGTGTTGGTCACTTCTGGTTAATTGTATTTTTTTTTAAAAAATATTATTAAAAAATTATCTACAAATTAATATAAAAATCAAATATAAGATTCAAAATTTTTACTCTTCATGTATTAAAATTGTTTAATTTTAACTAATTAAATTTATTAGGTTTAATTTTTTATAATACAGTAATTTGCTACGTACGTATAGAATTATATTCAAAATATCTAATAAAAAAAGCATATGCTAATAATTGCCAATATCGATTGTTGTTAATATATTTCGAACTTTAACATTGACATCAACAAAATCTATATTGAGATAATGTCAATGCCCGAATAGGAACTAAAACTATTTGAAATAATTTTCCTGTTTTAACTGTTTAATTTAGTCATTCTCGAACTACGTATGAAGTTGTTAAACGGTTCCAAACCTTAATAGGAAACCGCATGTACTATCGTCATGCGTCACATACATATATAATATATACATAAACGGTATATAAAAATTAACCAATCAATATTATTTCGTTTCTTTTTTTTTTTTGTTAATGTCAAAGATTGGACTGCCATTTTTCTTTCATTTGTTAGGATATAATTCTGACATCACTACAACACTGAGCTGCCTGGAATAATTACTTGGGTGTAGAGGTTGGAACTGGCTGTAAAAATGTAATCCCATGATTATTATGATGATCGATCGAAGAAATTTCTTCCAAGATTCTAGATTGATTAGTCATATTTTCGAACATTTATATTTATATTTATTTGGAAATTAAATCTATAGAATCCCCGATTCTCACATAACACCGCAATAAACAAATCGAATTTAATCTGGTTTATCGGAGTTTTACAACTGACAAAATATTGCAAATAGGTTTACATTTAAACTATATATGGGGACCCCCACAGCAAAACAAAGCAGTGGACAGTTTTAAAACTTGATCTTTAAATAAGTACCTGGTACGTACGTATATTTCATGGTCTAATAATTAAAATTAAATGATTCTTATATTATTAGATTCATCTTACTAAAATAAGTCTAATGACATAAAAATTATTTAATTCTAATTACTAAATCATAAGATATACTTAATTAAAGATCAAATTTTAAAACCGCCCACTGCCTTGTTTTGCTGTGGGGGTTTCCATAGATACCCGGGTAAAGTCACGAGCAAATTTTAGGCACAGTGGTTTGTATGAATGGAAACATTAGAAACACCAGGTTTTTAACGTTAAATGAATTAATTATAAACTATATATTGTTAATAATAATATGCGAGTTTTAATATTAAAGCACATATAGATATTGATATCACTTGATATGGCGTGCTCAAAGAACTTATAAACTATGCCAACATGGCAGTTTGCACAGCAAGCAGTCTGCATCATGCAAATTTACGCAACCTGTGCATGTCTAGTGACTAACACTAGCCGACTTTATAGAAGTCTCAAAAAAATTTTCCCAATTCTTCCCGAATCGTCATTTAACTAGTTGCTTATGAAAGATACCAAAGATTTGTATAGAATCACATCTAAATTTCTCACCTGATTCTGTCATTGTGATCTACGCCGACGCGATAAAAAATATTCAGACGATCGTAAAAAGAATACACCAAACGATGCGCCACGTTTTGTGTACTATTTTAAGAAATAACCTTGCCGTTCCTCAACTGCACCACAGCCGACGACGCACGAATTAAATGTAATTTCTTAAGAACGTTGATCATTTTGAGTAACTACGAATTTATAATTATTCGATAAGGATTTGCAATTTTGCCATACGATCCAATTTTGGAATTTGATTTCAAATATCCGCCTTCATTTGTCTCACGTGAATTATATAAACCTCCTGATTCCTTGTGACGACGGAGTTAACTTTGGTGGTAAAATTGGGAAATCGAAATTAGATTAGATCTGAAAATTATAAATCTTATCATTGGGCAATCTACTATTAACTGCGGATTCTGTGTGATCTACGTTATACCAATACGTATTGTTATTGTTGCAACGTAACAACCATTTAAAATACATGACACAACCCCCATTTTTTTAACGCAATTTGCCACTTTGTTTCCCAATTTCATAATCGTGTCGGCGTGTCTAAGCAAAGCAAAATAAAAAAATGGGGTTGTAACGGTCATGGAACGTTGGTTTTATTAGTGAAACCTATAAAACGGACCAAAATATTTTTGTGCCGGCATGCAACGTTATCTGATAAATAGTCAGTAATTACTATGTTTTCCACTTTTTGTCTATATCATTTATTAAATTAGAAGGTAGGCATTTTTTGAGTTCATCAATTATATTTTTGAGATTTTTGCCATCTTGGATTGTCGATGTACGATTTCATCTAATGTTACTAGCCGAAATTCAATTTATTTTTTCGACGAATTTCACCGAATTTTTATATTAAGTCATTAACTTATATTTCGACGAGCAAATGAATTTCGACGGTCTTTTATAAAGTCTTTAGTTATATTTCGATGATTACTAATGTGAATTTCGGCGAGGTACTTTGATTTTATCAAAAATGTCTTAGTATCATTATTTGTTGGTTCTTTTTTGTTATTGTATATATGGAGCGCGATGAAATATCTTATTTTTGATCGCGTTTTTTCCTCAATTTCATTCAAAAACCGTATTGGCCAAAGAAAGCTATTTAAAGTATCGCCAATTGATCTATCATTTATTTCATGTAGCAAGTCTACTCATATAATCTCTGCTAAAGAATTCCTTTTCAACTATGGATAAAAAAAAAAAAAACATCCTTGGCTTCTTTAAACACCAAGATCACAAACCTGAAGAACATCATGAATATATTAAAGATCACGTCTTCAAAATTAATGAAACAAATGACAACAAAGAAAAAATTAAAATCCTTAAAAAAATTAGACGTTATTTAGAATTATTCAAGGATGAATGGGCTACTCCAAAACCCGCAAAAAAACGCATACATATCAAACTACCCAGGAAAACTAAGATTGAGTATCCTACAGAAGAGGCCGAAATGCAGCGAATCATAAAAGAAGCGTATGAAGATGGTAATACTATTGTTAGAGTCATTGGATCTGGACATTCTGTTCCTGAAGCAATTCTTGATGTTTCAGATATTAAAGCTGGGAAAAAGAAGGTAATGTTAACTCTTTTCAATGTTGTACGTTGAAATTATCAAATTGAAATTTAATTGGAATATTAGACTAATGAAATTGGACCAAGTTCAATTAAAAAAAAAATTGGTATATATAATATAAATTTTTTTTTAAAAAAAAACATTGAATGAAAATATTGTTATTTTAGTAAAATTTAAAAATGTTTTCATTTGGATTTAGTTAAGTAATTGTCGAGATATCTTCAAAATTTTAACTTTAATATAAAAATAGAAAAATTTTATTGAATTTGGTTTGCGGCTTTGCGTGATAGACGTTTTAATCCTTATAAGTGCATATCGACAATTTTCTAACCAAATTCGATGAAATCTTTTTTATTTTGGTTATGATACGTCAAGAATTTTTCCTCAGTAGTTGTCGAAAATATATTTATTTAGAATTTATCAAGATTCAACTGTTTATCATTGACAAAAAATTTTGAAAAGATTTCTCGACAATCACGTTAATATAAAAGGTCAGTTACAATTTGATTGGATATAATAAAATTCACGTGATCAACATTTATAAGTTAAATAAAACAAATATTCCATTTAAAAATTATTTGGATTAATTGGAATGGTTCGAATAAAGTCCATTCCAATTTCTCCATAAGTACATTTGATTTTTTATTTATTTTATTTAATTTTATCTTATTTTATTTTTTTATTTTTTTTTTTGCAATTTTTTATAATTTCGGATAATGTTTAACTTCATTGCGAATATTCACAATAGATAAGGTTTTTATGTTTAGAAAAATACCACGGTGTAGAAATTGATTCTGAAAACCATACTGCAACTGTTAAAGCTGGTACACATCTTAATCGGGATCCAGAAGACGTTGAAAATTCTACACTTCAGAATAGTTTTAATTATATTATAGATCAAGCAGGATATGCTCTTCCTGATCTTGGCGGTATTGCTCACCAAACTGTTGGTGGTTTTATCTCAACAGGTTCATCGGGTGGTTCTATAATCCATAATGTTCATGATTCAATCATTAAACTCCGTATTATTGATGGCAAAGGAGATATTCATAACCTTTCAATTGACGATGCTGATAACTCCAAGTTTCTTGCTGCAGGTGTTTCTCTAGGTCTTCTTGGAATTATTACCAAGGTTAC